ACTTTAAAACTAGTAACTTGTCAGCGGATAGCTTCAAAAAAATACTTGACCTCGATGGGTCGACACCTGAGCCCGCGATACGGTCAAGTGATACTGGTCAGCGGGTACCCTGCTTTGACAGCTGTCAATTGATCAAAACATTGATGTCCAATATGTGTGCATTATCAGTTTAACTAGTATGAGATTGTTCGCGATCTAGTAAAACAATTAACTGGTCAGCGGACAGCTTCCAAATAAATCACGTCACCTCGATGAGTTGACACATGAGCCCGCGATATGGTCATGGGATACTGGTCAGTGGCTATCCTGTTTTGACAGCTGTCAATTGACCACATTTTGAATGTCCTGTACTAAAATCCTATATTAAAGATGTGGACTTGCCAAGACACGCCTGAGACACCCCTCCCTTCCTTTTTATAGTCTCCCCTACCCCACCCGTACAATCTGTAGACGCGTACGTACGTATGTACGTACGTACGTACGTACGCTCGGTCAATCACGTGACAACCAAACGAAAAGAGGTTGACCATATTCCATGAGTATGGGGCTCTGTCCCACGCGCGCTTCGCGCGCGCGGGAGCCCCGCTATGAAGAATAGAAATAAACAGTCTTTTCTTCAAGTTTCTTTGTCAAGCATTATTGTGCAATAGCAAAAAAATCGAACTCTTAGGCTCACTGGAATTAAACAGAACGCCGGCGCTACAAAATAGTCCAAAATAAAGATTCATAACTCCAAAATCTCATCAAACCTTGACTTACCTCATTCCTTGGTATTTAATGTATTCTTTTCAAGTTTGAATTTCTGTGTTGGCGATATCAAACACATGAAAACAACCGAAAACAAGCTTGATCTCAAGTGCATACTTCGAACACGGTGGGCTTTATTCTGTATCTCGCCCCAGTCCCCGCCGCGCAAATTACGACCCTGGCTGCGATCTCAAAACCATGTCCACCTTTCACAGCAGTTTGTGAGGAAACAAGCAGGGGGACCCGAGATTTTTTTCCCAGGTATTTGCTAAGAACATTCTAATAAAGAACATATTTGAAGAAGAAAAAAAGTTTGATAGTAGAACATGATTTTTTTGGGGAAAAGAGTTTCGTATTTGGTATATTTGGGTCAAGGCGAGGACTTCAAGCTAACCACGGAGCTGTCCGAAAAAGTGCAATATGCCCACAACCAGGCAATCAAAAATGAATTAAATGAAGCAATTCTGCTTATTTAAATAAAAGAAGCTTAATGTTCAAGATAAAATTTTGTGTGTTTCAAGTAACAAAGACTTAAGTCTGTAAGAAGAGGATTCGAATGTTTAACGCGCAACCAGTAAAAATACTCCAGTTTAAGAGACTGCTCACGCGTAAACGAGAACAGTGACCTCATCTTTTTATTGCATTTTTTCAATGTTCATATCATGAATGTTGATTATGCCAAGTTTCAAAAAAAGTTTGATAGTACAGCAATTTCAAGGGAATTACCTTAATCCTCTGATTTGGTCTCTTGCCGTGTACCGGTAGTTCAAAGAGCTGTATCTCTGGATCAACCTGTCTAAAAAACTCCAAAATATGGGCCAAACTTGCATCATATAGTTTATCTTCGTTTCCTATAGCGACAATCATATCAATCTACAAGAAAAAGAAAAAATCTTAGTGGTAAGCATGAAATAAAACTGAAGGGAAATTGATGAACAAACTTACCGACACTTGTTGTGTGTTCCTTCTGAAACAGTGAGGACAACCGTAAAAGCGAGGATATGGTTTGCTTTCCATAGCAGAAGAAAAACTTTTGTAACCGCTTGAAAACGAAAATGCCACGAACTTTGGAATGTCTGTTCCAAGGCAACGGGGAAGGCGGGTAAATTCTGCATTCATTTTTTTCCTTCTGTCATTGGTCATGAAACAGTGGGTCCAGAACATAATGATAACTTGAACCTTGAAAGGTAGCAGGTTGCCGAACTGCTTGTTTTGGGGGTCTACTAAGCCTTTATATTTCATTGCTTGAAGCTTCGTTAGCAAAAACAGCACAACAGAGCGTGTCTTGCCATGTGCTTTAGCAAATGCTAGGTGTGTGAAAAACACAAGGGAATAGGCTAAACCAATAAAGTTGGAAAAAGTCGCAGGGGAATCCAAAAAGCACCAATGAAAGAAAAGCCAACAGTTAGAAAAAAGAAAAGAAGCATGAAATAAGCCTCATCTCTCTTTACCGTTGTACCTTGTTTCTTAATCGAAAATGATGTCCCTTCAAGAACTAAGTCTGAAAGCTGTGCTACACCCGGGGGAGCAAGCCAGAAAGTTTTTGCCGCCATGGCATACTGTACGTATTGCACTGGAAGAAAGGGAATTCAATGAAAGGATTGACAGGTTCAGAGAGGAACAAAAACTTCGTTTTCGGTACGTACTCATTGAAATTCCTTGTGTTAGAAGACTTAAACTTGACCCTGCCCTTGTATCCCAGCCATGTGTGATGGCTACAGCGAAGTTAGCTAAAGGCGTGGATTGTTCTTTGTTTAGAGAGACGCTTATGGACACAAGGACATTAAGAGATCTTGACTGGACGTTATCCATGAAAATTTACTTTGCCAACTTTCGCCATTAAATTAGACTAACATTACAAATCGTAAAAGCATACCCAGGTGGAAACCAAAACGGAATGTGGCCCGTAGCACTGTTTGTACGTTTTATGAACCGAGCGTACAGCAATGGAAATTAAAACAGACATTGGCCGGCGTATGCGTTTATCGCATTTAATATCCGTGCAGTGGCAGATAGTTAAATCGGTAAAGTGTTTCAGTAATTAGTAGCTTTCGCTTAGGTCAATGGTAAAAACTAATTATGTATTTGTATGTAGATCGTCGCTTGACCTCATTCGACTGGTCCCAGATGTCGAGTGGAGGCCCTCATTTACTGTCTGGTTTTTGAATTTCATTTAGAGAAACCCTGGCACTGCTACCTTTTGTCAGAGACCTAGAGTGGACACCGCGCATAAAAATTCTTTTACTGTCATTGTGAAAACGTGTCATTTTGTTGTTTATTGTAGAAGTGTTGTGCAAACAATAAGAAGATGGAAAAAGATGAAGTATTTTCCATTCACAAAATGGTTGAATTTTAACAAAAATAGATGTAGTCATTGTGAAAGAATTTTTGAGTTTGTTCTAACATTAGATGGTTTAATTTTGACGTGGAAATGCGAAGAGGTAGACACAAATCGGGAACGTGAGACCCTTTTGAAATGGTATAAAGGGCCATCGATTATTCAAAGAATAGGATGGTAAACGAATGGTGTGTTTTTTATTTTGTAGACCAACACTTGTGGAACTGAGAGTGTTACCCTGTTGCCCCGTGACCCTGTGGGTATATTCGGGGGACTCATGTACTAGTTAAAATCTAAGAATTGGACTATTTGGAATCTGTATTGAAGACTGGCTTCTATTTAGGACTCGGTCGGAAGACTTTGACCTGTTTGCAGCCTATGTCAAATTTTGTAGAGTGTATGCATCATTAATCGAAAGGTACCCCTTTGTATTTCCAGAAGCACAATAGAGGAAATCGGAGAAAGAGCTTTTTGTTTTTACACCCAATGGGTTAATACAAGTACTGACAAACTGTGCGCCCACTGTTTAAGGATTTTAACTTCAAGACTAATTATAGATGACTATATTGATCTGAACCACTGGAAATATTTAAGGGCAACAGCCGAATATAGACGAAAAGCGCATGAAAATTGTTTTGCATTGTATGTAACTTTATTTGAAGAATGGATTGAAATGGGCGGGGAAGTTTAGCTTCGACCAAAAGTCCCGCTTGTAATAGGTATTTTAATAAAGAGTGTTGAAAGAGTCTAAAAGTAATTGTCTTCATAATTAACTGGGAAATAAGACGGGGTAATGGATATCAAATTAGGAAGGGAAAAAGAAAATAAGACTTAACGTACTAGGGAAAGCGAAAAAAGCGAAAGTTCATTGCGTGCAGACAAAAAGAGGGAGTATTAGTCATTGACGTAAATAAGATGAGGCGACTAATCCCCGAAAACAAAGGGTGAAAATGAAGTTCATTTCGCTAGCTCAGCGAAAGTAATGTCCCGCGTTTTTAGAAATAAGTAATTTGCTTGCCGGCAGAACGAAGGTGAAATAGTAATTGCGTCAACAATCTTGGCAACAATGAGTACGTACGTTAATGGAAAGAGCCTACCTCAGCAACAAAATTATCTATTACACGTGTACAATGCGCTTCAGCGAGTTTGTACGCAAATGAAGCCTAAACAGCTCAAGGGCCAATACTGCCTTTTGTTTCAGCAATTATAAAGGAACGACAATTTGCCCACAATCGTTCATTCACTGCCAAGTGTCTTAGGGTCTTGAGCAATTAGCGATCACAACGAGTCAGCATTGTCAAAGTGTAAGTTCTAATTCAGCTAAGTTATTGCTTGAAAATGAACCAAGATTTATCAAATGAAGGTAAGATTGCTTAATTACCCGTTGCGTAAAACAAAGTGTTTGAAACGAAGCAGAAAGGGGAGTGCTTTAATGCTGTCGAATTAATTTATAGAGCTCATCAGCTACAACGGGGAAGGTGTTCAAGAGTCAACCTCAATAGAAGCAATCGATACCGACATTGAAGTTAAATTTTGTCAATAATGCTTGGTGTATTAGTAACAAAGCGTCAACAAAAAGTAATGTAGGCGAAAGTGTAAGTAAAAGACAGAATTTTAACTGCGAACTGTGTGTAGGGATACGTAAACAAAGTGAATGCAGAATATTATTTTTACGGAGCGAAGCATAACCGCCAACTAGGGTTAACGGTGAGTAAACTGTGAAAGTGTAGGTTTTTAAATCATAACCGCAAACTGAGTGTTGCATAGCGGAAAGGTAGATTTCAAGTAAAACACAGAAAAATAACGGCAATTCAAGCGTTTCTAAGCGTAAAGAACAAAATGTAGGCTTAATTAGCAAAAACAATCAAGCGTTGATGCAGGCGTTTCGTTTTCATGTTTTATAGCCTTAATGTAGGAAGTTGATGAGGGTCTGTTGTCTGCCTTTCGCCGCTTCGAGCAACAAGGAGGGAATCCACTTTTCCGAGCAGAATTTACACCAGTGGGAAGAAATAGATCGTTTCATGGCATTGTAGACCAAAAGAAATATAGGCTTACTTTACAACAACTACGAGATGCGCAAGATGAACCACTAGGGGAAGCCATCACCGAAGCTTTAATTCAAGGGTTGCAGCGGGTGGTGGAAAACGAGGGTTTCAACGTCCAGGATTATTCTTTGCTAGTCTCTGTCCATTCAAACTCACTCACTCATGTCTGGTCACAATCTGCCCGAAATGTCCCTTTAGAAGAATGGTTGTCTAATGGGGCTTACACCCGCGCCTGGCTGGAAGATTTAGCCAAAAAATTGAATTCAGCTGAAGTCATGGACCCCCAACGAGATGGCTTTTATGTCGAACTCACCTTTGTGAAACGGTTAGGTTGTGGAGGAGAGAACGGGGGTAAAAAAACCAATCCTGGCCGCCATGCGTGGGAGAAATTGGCTAAGAAAAAGAGCTGTGTTGTGACCATCCAAAATAAAGACAACATATGTCTCACCCGGACAATTGTGACGATGAAGGAGAGGGTGGACAATGGCTCCCAGTATCAGAATCTAAGGAAGGGAAGACCCATTCAAGAACGATTGGCCAAAATGTTGCATCGAAAAGCGGGTGTTCCCGGAGGCCCCTGTGGGTTTGAAGAATTGGAAAAATTTCAAGACTTTCTAGGACCACAGGGATACCAACTTATTGTCGTCGAGCCGTCTAAATGTTTAATTGTGTTCAAAGAGGCAAAATACAATAACACACCGTATGTTATCTCATTGGTGAAACATCAAGACCATTTCGATGGGTTAACTAGCATCCCTGCCCTTATCAATTGTTCCTATTATTGTCGTCTGTGCGATAAGGGTTATGATGTCGAGGGCGCCGCCCACCACAATTGTTGCGGACAGAACTGCCCCTCCTGTCTTCGAAAAAATAAGACCTGCCCAAATTATGCTAGTGGATCAAGCCAACCCTTGAATGTCCAAACTGCAACTGCAAATTTTATGGCCAAGATTGTTTTGAAGCCCACAAAAAGAAAGCAAAGAAGAAAGACGACAAAAGCATTTGTGAAAGCTGGAGAAAATGTTTGAAATGTTCCGCCGAATTTCATTTTGATCCCAACAAGCCGCATAAGTGTTACCATGTCACCTGCACTGACTGTGGAGAATTTAAGCATGTCAACCATAGATGTTTCATTCAGCCGGTCCAGCCGAAAGAAGACACCACCCAAGAAGACGCATTTGAAGATCCCATGGCATTTCAAAATGAGGATGATGACCAGAATGAAGAGAAAGGTCCACCCCCTCCCCCCGTCTTAAATTTCGCGGATATCGAATGTTCGTTAACTGAAGAAGGAGTATTTATACCCAACCTAATCTGCTGGTCGTCTGAAGAGGATGACGAGATCTTTCATAGTGATTCCATCGAGGACTTCCTCCAGGCCCTGGAAGACCTTACAGAAGTGGAAGGAGATGAAAGACCCCGCAAAGTCATCACCTCCTTCCATAACATGAGAGGCTTTGACGGGAACTTCATTTTAGAAGCACTGTATGACCAAGGACGAGCGGTCGAAAAACCTCTAACGCAGGGTGCAAAAATCCTTTATTTTGAGTCGGGGAACTTGATCTTTAAAGACTCGATGAATTTCTTTGCCATGGCACTTGAGAAATTTCCTGCTACGTTCAATCTTCGTGAGCTCCACAAAGGTTTTTTCCTCACGCCTTCAACCGTGAAGAAAATTTTGAGTATTCTGGCGAGTACCCCCCAAAAGAAGATTACCATCCAGACGAAATGGATAGTAAGAAGAGAGACAAGTTTCTGGCATGGCACGCCCGCAAAGTCGCAGAACAAGCAGTGTTCAACTTTCAAGAGGAGCTATTGAAGTATTGCGAAAGCGATGTCAAGCTATTAAAAGAAGGGTGTTTGAAGTTTGTGGCGGAGTTTGAAGAAATTGCCGGCTTCAATCCTCTCGTGGAAGCAGTCACGATTGCCAGCGCCTGCAATCTCTTCTGGCGACGAGAAAAATTGGAGACCGATCTCATTGCCTTAGAACCGCAAGGTGGGTGGCGTGGAAACCTCATCAACCAAAGTAAAATCGCTTTGGAATGGCTGTATTATCAAGATCATCTTTTGGGAGAGATGGGGCGTGTCCGCCACGTGCGCAATGGCGGGGAAGTACAAGTCGGCAACCCAGACGAGATGGTGTACGTGGATGGCTACGACGAGACCACCCATACCATCTTTGAATTTTACGGCTGCTACTATCACGGGTGCCCCCGTTGTTTCAAGCGGTAACGCAATGTCAGAAGAAATTGCCATGCAGACCGTACAGTCAATGAAGTGTATGAAGCCACCGAAAGAAAAGCGGCCATGTTGCGTCTTTGTGGTTACCACGTCGTAGAAAAATGAGAATGTGAATTTCAAGAAGAGAAGAAGACTGCCCCTGCCTTAAAAGCGTTCCTAGACGACTTGGACATGGTCCCTCCCTTAGACCCACGAGACGCCTTCTATGGGGGGCAGAACGGGGGCTGTCTCCTTGTACGCCAAAGCCGAAGAGGGAGAGAGCATCAAATACTGTGATGTCACGTCCCTTTGACACTGGGTAAACAAATACAAAGAATACCCGGTTCGGTTCCCGCTGACCTTTACCAATCCCTCGGACAAAGAGATCGATCATTATTTTGGCTTGGCACAAGTCGACATCTTGGCCCCGCAGCATTTATTACATCCCGTACTCCCCGTCCGGGCTGGGGGAAACTCACCTTCCCCCTCTGCTCCGCCTGTGTTCGCGAAGAACAGCAAAAGCCCTGGCTGGAAAGAACCAACCTGTGTCCTCATAAAGATCAAGAACGGATGCTGAGAGGGAGCTTGGTTATCGTATCGTTAAAATTCATGAGGTGTGGCATTTTCGAGAAGAGGACAGACGGGTGAGGCTCTTCGCAGATCATGTCAACACCTGGCTTAAAATCAAGCACGAATCGGCGGGCTGGCCGGACGAGTGTCACACACGAGAGCAGAAAGACGCTTACCTCCGTGACTATGAAGAGAAAGAAGGGATTCGTTTGGAGCAGGTCGCCAAGAACCCGGAGCGAAAACAGGTCGCTAAGATGATGCTGAACAGGTGAGTGTTTAGTGTAGAAAAAGTCTGCTGGTAAGAGGTATAAGTTGCAGACAAAGTCTGCACTTAAGAAGCAAGGTCTGACATGAAACGACATGCAACCGTTTTACTCAAAAATACAAGAAAAATGTATGGAAATCATGCAGAAAAAGTCTGCAAATAAGAAGCTTAAGTGGCAGACAAAGTCTGCAAGTTAACAACCTCCTTTTAATGGGATTCTCTGTTTCTTTTTTCCCTTTCAGCTTCTGGGGCAAATTCAGCGAAAGGCAAAACAAACCCCAGACGCATGTTATCCAGAGCGCCCATCAACTGTACTCCATCCTGAACGACCCCTCCTACCACATCAGTGCTGTCAGGATCTGTTCCGAAGACGTCATGGAAGTGGTCACCACCCGAGCCGACGAAGAGGTGGAACGAAGCATGAAGACCAATTTATTTATTGCCATTTTCACAACAGATCATTCCAGATTGAAATTGTACTCTGCGTTAGAAACATTACTACAGCGAGTGTTGTATTATGACACGGACTCGGTCATATGTAAATGGCGCCCAGGGCAGGTACAAATTCCCTTAGGTGTGTTTGTGGGAGAATTCACGGACGAAGTAGAAGGTGACCCCATCATAGAATTTGCCAGTGGGGGTGCGAAAAACTATGGGTATGAAACCAGGGGAGGGAAAGTAGAATGTAAGGTTAGGGGATTTTCACTGAATTACAAGAACAAACAAATTTTGAATTTTTATAATCTCCGCGATAACATTTTGAAAGAACTCGATCAGCCTCAATCATCTAGGAGAGAAATGTCCTTAGTGGATGAGCATTTTTTTCACAGAGACCAGACCAACAAACGGATTCGTTTGATTGAACGTGAAAAGAAATATGGTCTGGTCTTTGACAAACGAGTGATCGACAGGATCACTCGCCATTCGTATCCTTTGGATTCTCTCGTATTCACGACGAGGTCAACTTGCTTTCGGAGTTGTAAATAGTTTTTCATAACCAGTATTGTACATAGAAACAGGTCAGCTTTGTGGCGCCATTCGAAGTGTTGTAACGTTAAATCAACAGGGAGGTTTAACGAAGAAATAAATCAAGTTCGCGGCAACTCTCTGTGTGTTTTCTCTGGGTAAGGGTTAGGGTCAAAAAGAGGCAGGTGGTTAAGTTAAACAGCATTTATTGAAGAAAAGGAAAATGAAATTACAATTTGAGCTTTCTCTTGGCTTGCATGATTTTCTTGACAACTTTCTCAGTAATGGTCTTTTTCCCGGGTAAACGATCAATGGCTTTGATCATGACGTCATCCGCTTTCCATTTATCTTGCAAATTCTTGGCTTTGCTATATGTAATGTCATGATGCATGGCAATTCGGTCTAACCTGTTTTTTGGCTTGTCACCGCGTTTCAAACGTTTAGCTAGTTTCGTGCCAGGGCCAGCAAATCGGTATTAGGGAATATGAAACTCCATGCCTGTTTTCTCAACGGCTTTTTTGTCTCCCTCTACGGGGTCTTGAACGTTTCCGTTTACCAGTCTTTGCCATCGAGTTTGCGTCTAGTCGGAGTACCAAAGGGTTTCCACCCAGGAGCTGGGGCTAACTTTTTCAAAGCTTTTTCGGTGGCCTTTTTCAGCACAGTTTGTTTTAAACCTTCTTTTTTTCGGTCCTCACTCTGGGATTTGCGTGTACGTCTTCTTATGGCTCTGAGACTGTCTCTGGCTAATTCACCTGGAGTTTTCCAAGGCGATTCGCCTAACTGGTCTGAAAAGGGTAAATCTGTGGCTAATTCTTCCAAAGACTTTTCAGGGGTCTTGAAGGTAGAAGAAGGAGACTTTTTACTTTTAGGTGTCTTCGGTAACAAACACTTTCCTTTCGATCCAGTTTTAAAGGAAAACTTGGGTTTTTTTCTGCTTTCCGGAGTCTTGGGCGACTGTTTAATAGCCGGTGTCACGGCTGTTTGTTGTACGTTAGGGGTCGTGGCTTTCCTTTTTATACCCTTCTGAATTTTAGCAATATTACTCATAAATTGTTGCATGGGACCCACCGCTAAATTATTGGATCGTCATCATCCGTGTCGTCATCATCACGCCCTATAGCGCGCATACCCCCAGGCTGACGAATTTTCTTGGTCCATTGTCGTAACTGTCGGTTCACGGATTTCAAACGGGGTTCTTTCCAGGTATCGGGGGCAGGACTTTCTAGCAACAGTTTTTGTTGGGCCGCTAGACCCACTGCTTTAGTCAGACGACTATCATCTAAGAGGTCGGATTTGTATTTATCCCTTAGCCGAAAAAATTGAACAGAGTTTTCCATGGGCGTGCTACTAATACCGTCAACGGTCAGCAATGAATGAACATCAAAGTCCCACGGGCATACTTACACGTTTTTGGACCCCCACTCTTGGGATATTTTTCTTTCATGCGTTGGTGAAGGTTTTTCAACAGGGTGACCAACGTCATCAACCCTTCTAGCACACATAGCAGTCGTTGGAACAGGACTTGTTTCATCTTAATAGCGGTAGCGGGTCTTAGCACAATGATAACAACGTTTTAACTCACTCCAAACACCTGCGCCTAATTAATGAATCATGAGGTGACGTCTTCTTTTTATACTCTGACGGGGACTTGCAATCAGGCGAAGTTGTTTGCTGTAGGGTTTTAATTTGGGCACAGTTTTTCTGCCAGGACGAATCGCCCCACGCAAGGTATTCATGACTAATTCACTCACAGCATTAATTTGATCTGCATTGGCATAGCGAAGTTTTTGTTGACGTTTGTTTTGGTTGGCTTCCTTTAAGACATCTTTTAAAAAGGCTCCTTGTCATGTCATACGTCCTGTCATCGTGCTTTAGGCCTCCTTTGGGGTCTGCGGTTCCTTTTATACTTCTGTTTGGATAAGGCATGTAAAGCTTTCATGGTCCCATAATTGGCCGCAGCGCCGAGTCCTCCCATGGCTGCCGCTTTTCCTCCAGCCACTAAGGCAAGAATAGCTGCTGCTAAGAAGGGAGCTATCCCTCCACGTTGTCTTCCCACCCCAGGTTTGCGCTTTTTTGCCAACCCTCTCCGTCGTTGTCGTCCTTTGGCCATGGTTAATGAATCGCTCGTGAATGAATCTCCTTTTATATCTTCGTCAAACGTATGGACCTGAGGTTTCCCCTTACGTTGGGTTAAATGACTCCATACGCGAAAACGATCGTCGGAGGCTGGATGTAAATCCAACATAAAATAACCAAAGGGGCGAGCCATCAACCTCAAAAATAATTGAAGCGCTCGTCGCCATTTGTCTGGATACACTTGCAGCAACAAGTTACGGATGCCCGTCTTGTCACGAGGACTTTTGAAGCAAATAGCATAATGCGCGTTGCGGTTGATGGTTTTGGCAAATTTGCCGGGAGGAAAGAGATCTTGGGCTAGATATAAGGCGGTAATACCACGATGATGAGAATCTTTGGTAAATAAATCCAACACGCGTTTATCATTGCCCGATTCCTCCATCAGATCATCGAGAATGAGAATCCCATGATGTTCAGGTTTAAACCATTTGACTAACGCTCCTTCAGGAGGAAGACCTTTGTAAAAGTGAACGTTGGAGTGTTTTTTCATGCGATCAAAACGTGGTTGCCATCGATCGTAGCAGTAAACCATCTTTAGGGGAGGGGGATAAAACAGTTTTTTCTCTTTCAAGAGGCTTTCGACCAATTTACTCTTGCCAGACCTAGACGGGCCGCAATAATTACACTAGCAGGTTGACGAATCATGTTTCCCACGGTTTACGAAAGTGCCACCCCGTTGGTAGGGTGAATTGTAACGACCCACCGATCGCTGGTGTTTCACACGCGATTGCGATTTTTGTCCACGTCTCATGATTACACGCCTAAAATGTCTTTGACACGTTGTCGTTTCTTTTTATAGCTTTCTTTAGCTTTGGTTTTGGCATAAAGACCTACGGCTGCGGGAATTTTACGTTTCAGACCTCGTTTTAACACTTGGCTTGAGCTTTTAACGGCCTCTGTGGCAGACGCCCCTTTTTCATACGCGTCAAGGCCATGTCCAATGGATCGAAGCAATGTGGGTCCAGCTAATTTGACCAACTCTTGTGAAAACCCTTTTACTTTCAGAGTGGGGGTATGATATCGTGTGAGTGACCCACCCAACATGATGAAAGACTGTGCCATCAGAGAGGAGAGGGTTCTTTTATACTCGTCGAAACCCTAGGGTCACCAGTGTTTTGCCCGTAGGCAGGACCAACAAGGATCCACGAGGTGTAGCGAGTGACACTTCAATGATTTCCACTCGTTTGCTTCGCAGTCGAATCCATTCGCGATGAAGGGGTTCTACCGTAGCTCGGCCCTGACCCCGACGTTCCAATTCCACTTTTCTCAACAACGAATGTTTTTGGATCTCAACGATGGTCGATTCGACTACATCGCAATACAACATCACTGTTTGTTTGATGGTTCCCACATGTGTATTAAACAAGGCATTTAAGTTTAGGAATTGCCAATCGACGTAGCGGGTGAGATACATATACTGCTTTCCTTCCTCGGTCTTGACTTTGAATAACTCATTACCTCCCATTAAATCGTGTGGTTTAATCCCCACAAAGTGTTCTCCTAACCACTGATACCTTTGATTGGTTCTCGTAGGAAGTGTGGTATCATTATAGGTGTTGGTGGGTAATGCATAGTCTAAATTGGGTCCTAATTGATACTTGTCGTTCTTGTCTGTGGTAAGGAGGCCAAACTTTTGAGCAAAGTCGACATAAAACCCAACGGTTGATAAGGGTTGCACTTTATTGGCCGCATCGCGAGCATAGACATCTTGGGGCGGGACGGCTTTTAAAACCAGCGTGTCTTGTTTCCATTCAAACGTGGGTTTCCAAGTGGATTTCAAGGATACAGTGGCTGCATCATTTTTGGCTGTTTTCCAAGCGACTGAGGTGGTCGTCAAATCTTTCATCATGGTTTGATCCATATGGGTGATAATATTATGCCATAATTGAATACCTGAGGTAACCGGAAAATCGTTTTCCATCACGTCCTTTAAGATCACCTCTTTGTCTTTGGCTTTAAAGTCCACCAACCATGAGTTATCCGCTGCTTGATAACGTTGGGTGAAAGTATAACGATATTTGATTAACCCTATATCCTGATTAGAGGAAAGAACGGTGGGACTATGTCCCTCGTCAGCCACGAAGACACTCCATAAACTCGCTTGCCAAGTGTCTCACGGTAAATTCAATATGGTGGGTAAACGGACTTTAAAATTGTTGTTTTTATTGTTGGGAAATTCATCAGTGGGATCATTGATGAGAGTGATACGAAATTCATTCATAGTACTTGCAAGTCTTTTTTCCAAATCCAACTGTTATACTCTTTGGGCTACCCTTTCCACGCAACAAACACTTGATTTCCTTTTCGTTTTAACACTTTTTCCACCCGAAATAATGCCTCATCGGGGAGTACAACCTTTTGAACATCTTCTTCATAAAATGTGCCTTTTATGGGTGTTCCATTCCATTCTGTGAGGGTGTAGGTGACAACGGGGCGGATGGTTGAAATTCCATGGACTAAAAAGACTTCTTCTGTCCAAGCAGGCAAATACCCTTTTTGAAACACCCGATGTTTTTTGTTTAACCGTACTTTATCTCCCACACGCAGTTTAGGATGAGCCCGTTTGCGTAACCGCTTTTTATACAATCGATTCGAAATCAAATATTCATTGTCCGGGGTTACATGAGCAGGTTTTTCTTGAAAACTGGAATGAACCGTGTGATTGTATTGCTCCACGATGAGGGGAAGGGCTTTCAAGTAGGTGCGGGTATTGGCAGCAGTAAAATAACGGTACAGTTTGGTTTTTAACGTTTTAATCAACACTTCAGCTAAAGCGGCTTTTGTATCCCCTTGGGTGGAAAAATGGTCTACTTGGTGTTTTTTAAAAAAAGGCTTGCATCTTAGCGTTCATGAACTCTGTCCCGTCGTCTGATTGCACCCGTTGAGGTTGTCTGGGGCTAGCTTGTTTCCATAACGTCTGTAATGCTCGCACCATCACCGCACCTGTTTTGTTTTTGATGGGAATGGTCGAGACACATTTGGACAGGACATCCACCACGGTTAAAATGTATCGGTGACCTTTATTCCATTTGGCTAATTTCTGGACGTCCATCAGATCCATCACCCACTGTTGATCGACTTTAAAGACCATGACGGGCAAGGTTGGAAAATGACGACGTCGGGACTTGTGTAACGTGTAACTCAACATGGTTTCTAACACTTGACGAGCTTTGGATTGAGCGAGTCCATGGGCTTTGGCAAATTTAGCCACACCTCCTAACGAGCCAGGTTGGGAAGGATCGACATAGGCGTTCGACAGTTTTTGCGCCATGATACATGAACCACTGTGCTAACAAATAGGACAATGAATACGTCCATGAAGAATAGTGTGTCTTTAAATAGTGAAAAATCAATGGTCCCTGCGTGGGAAAATGACGTTGCAACCAGGTGATGTAAATAGCGTAACAACCCCAACTGCGATGGGTGTCCATCATATACTCAAATAAGGCAATAGGTTCACAGCGCTCTTCTGGAATGGGTCTGTCTTGGGCTAGTTTTTGACAAATCCACATAGTGCATCTATACTCTAAGGCTTCCATGGTGAACAATGATATCTATGAGGAGGTGGCTGTGCTTTATACTTCAAAAAAGTTTTTGGCATACCCTTCCGTTCCAATACATGAAGGACATGGTATGGCCAAAATGGTATCACAGGGTTCTTTTGAATCAAGATATCTTTGACACTTTGGACAGAGCAACTTGTACCGCAATTGAGCATTATCTGTTTGTAATACAGCTATTTCCCCTTTCATGTCTTCAATTTGTTTATCTCGGACCTGTAAAAGGGCTCGGAGTTGTTTCAATTCAACTTCACAATCATGCCAAGCGCGAGTCATGTCTAACAACCTTTTAGCGGACATGATGATGACCTCAAAATAAAACTAAATGGAGTAGATTGGGTTGCTTTATAACCCTAACCCTAACCCCTTGGGACTAGGGTTTATTACCATATTAACCCTAACCCTAGAGACAAAGAACCACACCTTCCCAATTCACACTTTTTATTGTTTAAGACAACACCAATGATGGACCCTCGTTTTTACATCTTTGTGCACATCCACTAATTGTTCAAAAAAACGTTCTTGAGCTGGGGTTAATGGTAACCCTTGTTGCTTTCGTTTACGGAAATACGACGCCAAACTGCACACTTTTTCCGGCTAGTCACCAAAGGGCCAGGGTCTCTTCACATGATCAGCAATGGCTGCTTCGTTTTGAGGCCAAAATCCTGTGACGGGTTTGCACTGATGATGACAGGCGTGCAAATATTTTTCATCTGCAGGGGATAAGTGTTTGCCTTGGTTTTTTCTCTTTTGCAAGTAGGACTCTAAAATGGCATCACTAGGAGGTAAGCCTCCAAAGGTCTTCGACACAGAGGTTTGAAACTCGCTGTTGGCCATGGCATTGATGTCATCCCATTGGTCTCGTTTCTTGATTACCTCCGCTATCTCGGGACTCCAATGAAAGGTACTTGGCAGGGATTTCTTCCAAGGATTTACACTTTGTTTGGTCTGCCGCTGCTGCTCTTGTTGTTTGGCAGATTCTGCAAACTGACTGAACCAGGCTTGGTCGGATTGCCGCTTTTTCCACTGTTCGACATTTTGCTCTGCTTGGTGCATCCACTCTCGATTTTCTTTAGTGAAGGATTTGAGGGGTCTTGGTTTGTAGGTTTTTCGCAGCCAGTCTGGCATGGGATCAGACGGAAATGGATACAACGGTTGTATGGATCCATTGAAAATACTTGCAACGAGCGTCTTGAGCGGAACCACCACAGGTAAGAAACACTTTGTTGAGATTTTTGGCAGTCTTACTTAACCGCATCTTGGGGAGCTTTTGGCAATGACACATTAGATTACCCCATTTGGTATGGACTTCAGGATGAATCTCTTGTTGAAGGACCATTTTGACTTTTTTCTTATCTTCGTCTTTTCCATAATACGAGGGACAGGGTTTCTCTTGATCCCCAAATACTAGGAGAAATTCAGTGGTTAATGGTTCATTCCCGTGGAAGTTCATGATGATAACTGATCATGGTTCAACGCATGCCGTGTATTTAATAAAACCCCTATGACGTCAACCCCTCCCTAGGGAGCGGGCAAGTCTGGGTCATGACGTCAATGACCCTCCCCAGAGAAAGGGTAAAACATGACAAACAACATGCACTAACGTAGCAAAAACAACTTTAATACAATCACACGTTTTTACAATGCTTTAAGGAAATTGAAATCCTCGTTCGGTTTTCTGCTTTTTCTCCAGGCTCATCCTGTCACTGACCATGTCCGCCAGTCGTTTCTTCAGGGCTTTTCGAGTGGCTGTCTTGGGTACATAGTTGGGTTTGGGGGGATCATGGATCCACTGAAAATACCCACATCTGGCTTCTCGAGGTTTGGGACAGCCTAGGAAGACTTTGTTCATGTTACTGGGTGTTTGACTCAACTGCAATTTGGGCGCTAATCCACAACGACAGCTAAGGGTTCCCCACTGATTGAGTATTTTGCTGTGTATCTCGTTACACAAGGCTTCCGCCACAATCTGCTTTCTCTGAACACTTCCAAAAAAGACCGGATAGGTATAACACAGGGCTAGTCCTTGGTTAGGAAGGACAAAGTTGGTATGCAGAGGTTTGTTTTCATCTTCCAAATACTCCAACATGTTAGCCATTTGCTCTGGTTCCTCCACAGGCCACAATTCCACGGTTCCACCATCTTGGGTCACTGCTACTCCCTCTTCCAACACTTTCACAGGCGCTAGGTCAGGTTGTGTTTCCATAGAGCTTGGTCCATTGGACATGTCATCTCGCATCATCTCTTCATAGCTTTGGAGAGACGGTCTAGGATACTCTTCTATGTTTCCTGCTAATGACGGACCAGGCATGAGAAGGTTAGTGGGCACTGTGGGCTGAGGAGGGATGACTCGCAGTTCATCTCCAGCATACGGTAGATCCTCGATCACTTCTTTAGGGTTGACTGTTTTCTTGTTTTTCTTGCCTTTTGGACGTTTGTTGCTTCCTTGATCTAGTACTTGAGGTTGAATCATTCATTTTTCAAAATTCGCCATCTTGGGGTCGTGAGGACGAGTTATGGACTCCTCATCAGGGGAACCAAATATAGCGTTCATGGTATTCTGAAGTTCAGACATTCTGCTTCGTTGCAATTGCTGAACGGTTGGTTCTTGAAATTTGCACATAATGACTTTTTTCACTTGAACACATTACTTTATTGAGCATTTGGGTCCTAAGGGCATTGGGTCATGACGTCAATCCCTCCCTGGGGAGCGGGCAAGTCTAGGCCATGACGTCAATATCTTGTTTACGCTTGGGTGGATGACGTGAATCTAGTCACGTTCGCGTTCCTTTTAAATAGCATGACTCTACCCAGAGACTTCATTCACTCTCTAAGTGTGGAGACTGTTGTAGTTGTTGCTTTCTGTCACGGTTTCAAAACCACCGATGAGTTTTTTCTCTATAGAGAAATTGGTTTATGTAGTCGAGATGGATATCATCATCTTTTGTTGTCTTATTCTCCTGGACGTGACTTGTTTGCTTTTTCCAATGAGACCCAAATGAGTATTGATGAGCAAATGAAGTACGATCATGGACTAACCTTTGACAACACATCTGGACGAGATCAGAATTTGGTTGCTGTCGATGTCAAACAATGGTACAAGACTCATTGTCCCTCCGATTTCCCCGCTGTGGGTTTGCTAGATGTTACTCCACCGCTGATTCAAGCCATGGATATCCCTACTGTGGACCTTACCATCGGTTTAAACGAGATCCATGAACTGCCTATAGGTACCACGAATGTCATGTCACCTAGCGATTTTATACATTGGTGTAGAAATCACAGTGATGGCAAGCTTCCCGTTTGGCATGATTATTGTGCCCGCGTCCTGGTGTGTAAGCTCAGTTGGTGGTTACGCAAAACCTTGCACGTTCAACCCTCGGTCCAAGAAGTCAATGCTCAGCGTGTTTTGTGGCAAAAGCGTTGTGACGAATTGTTGGAATGGGTTCTATGTGACTATTGCATTCAAGAAAAAGATGATGCTTTTGCCAAGGGGTTAGGATTAGATTGGGTGCCAGACAATTGCGATGGCAAATGTAAAATAGTGCAGTACATTTTTGAAAGAGAAATAACCGACCCTAGATGGGATTTTTCTTATAAGGATGAATTACCCGAATGTATGCGAAAATTGGCGATAAAAGTGTGATGTGTAATAAAATTTCATTTGACCACCATGACTCAACCGAGTGACATTGTTTACCCTGTTTTTCAAAAAGAAGTTAGAAGAGTCCCAAAGGAAATACATTAGGGTGGACAAGTCAGTGAAGCGTGAACTGTCGATATAAGCAAGTGATGTTGTTGACTCACCATCAGTGATGACTGACAACGAGTGGTTTGCTATTGTGGGAGAAGCCGTGATTTTTTGCGCTAGTTTAGTTCAGAAAATCAAGACGTTAAAGCAGCAACTTCAATCTGCCCAGGAGAAATTGACGAGACTCAAAACTGCTGTCAGACTTGGAAGAACGATATCGCTACGACACCGTGCACTGAGATGAACACGTTGTTGAAAAACTAGATCCTGGAAGCTTTTCCAACTACAAAGAGTTTATTCGCGCTTTGCTCATTGAAGCCTTGGCTAATACAGAGTTTACCTTTGACGAGTTGAATTACAATCTCTATGCTTTGAACAAAGAGATTTTTAATAAAATGAACAAAGAAACGACGGCCTTTTTTAAATTCTTGCATCGAACACCTGATGTGGATTATAAGATGAAGGAGTGACTTTCTTGAGTTGCATTCAACACTGACTTTTCTGGAATGAACATGGACACCCTTTTCAACTGTATAGAACCTTCTAAAGTAAAAGCTTATAATGCTTTTATGCAAGCCATCATTTTAGAAAGCATCTCGCATCACAATTTAACTTTTGATAAATTGAACAAGTTATTGTCCAATTATAACAAAGAGATTTTTGAACATGTTTGTGAAAAAGCCATTTCCTGTTTTGATACCTATACCACTGAAAGCATCAAGTCCTATGGGAATTGAACATGTCCGGACAATGACGTCATGGCATTGTTTCTTCTAGTTATATTACTCTTTGACATTGTGTTTGCTTCATTCTTTGACGCAAGATGTTGGGTGTTGAACGTTTTACGATTATCAGTGGTGGTGCTTATGGGGTTGATTTAGAAGCAGAACGTTTTGCACGAGACTTTGGTTTAGCTGTCAAGATCCTAATTCCACCTTGTCATCCACGAAGCAAATACTT